AGAGTGCTTCTCCCCTGACTCTTTATTAATTAGCGAGGACGTGTATTCCTCCTTGATACACAGTGCCACTCCTCCCCCTCTTTCCTATCCTGTCCCTCCTGTACATCCTATAGCCTTCAACATTCACCGCCCAATCATGCTTGGAGAAAGAAAAAAAGATGGATCTGGAAATTCAAGGGAGGAGAGAAAGAAAACAGAGACCTAGGCACACAAGAGAGCTCAAGATGGAAAAAATGATGGGAGGACAGGAGGAGAGCAGGCCAGAAGTCTTCATTGTACTTGCAGTCTTGGGTCAGTGCTGCAGTGAGGAATTTGACTGATGACTGAATTAGTAAGTTCTTGTTCTTACCTGCACTCTGCAAATGGTTTTGGCTGGGCTGGGATCCCAGGAGAGTCTGGGAAAAGAAACAAAGCAAAAGCAGAGAGATGATTATCTGATGAAATAAACATGGGCATGTCCCGAAAGCTGCTTGGCCTCCAGCTGCTCCAGGGAAACACGCCCTAGTAATGAGCCTTTTTCCTGATTTTCCCATCACTCTGATTACAATCCAATCAAATCTCTGTCCACAGACAATATGAGTAATTGCTAGGCAGCAGAGGGTTACCCTTCACACAAGCACCACACTAAAGGGTTGTTTGTCATTTTCATGGGTTTTATCCCATGCTAGGGGAGCAGGGGCAGCATAAGCAGGTAGAGTAGGAATTAAAAAAAATGGGGGCTTGACTGAAAGATATGTGAGGGATAGTCCAATAGAAATCGGTGTAGCCACAAAGTGTGAGGAGTTTCTAGCTCACCCCCTGTTCAGAGCATAGAACAGCAGCCTGCTGGGGCCATAATAGTGAGCAGGTTCCCAGGGGGGTTGTCCATCTAAGGAGAAATACCACCTTGGGGATGGTTGTTCAAATTCAAAGGAAAGCCCCCATACCAAAAAGCTAAGCATCTATATGAAGATGTTAGGATTTTGCTGCTAACATTTCAGGGCCTGAAGAAGGATAAAGATTTCCTACAACACCTGACAGTACAATATTACTGTGACCACTGACAGTACAATATTCCAGGACGCCGTCACTAGGCAAGTTGAACACTGGCCTGGCCACCTGTCTAGGGTAGTCTGCCCTCATTTGCCTACTACGCTTTGCTGTTTTATAACTGTTGTAAAATATGGGAGGCTGGCCATTACATGCCCTGATGCCTAGAGCATTATACACAGCTCTGACCTTCCCTATACTGTGTCCCATGCCTCGTAGATGGCATCCATATTGGTACAGTGCCTCACACTGACCCATGGGAATCTCACATGGGACTCTCACTCCCCGCTGGAGCTCAGTCACTGTGCCTTCACACTGGGCTCCAAACTCATGCACCCTCACTGGGGCTCATTTACTCATGCCCCCACACTGGTGTTACTCCACCACCCTCTCACTGGGGCACTAACTCATCACCGGGGCTGACTCCCTGAGCTGCTTGTGGGACTGGCCTATACACAGACCTTCAGGCCACCCTTATAGCCCTATTCTGCGTGCCCCCAGTGCAGTCCTTGGGTTGCCCCCTGCAACCCTACTCTGCACCAATACTGCACAGTCCTTCAGGCTGCCTTTGTGGCCCAAGCCTACGCAGCCTGTTTTCTCACTCCGTCCCCTTGCTGGGGCCATTCTTCTGCCCTGTCACCGGGGCCAACTCCTTGCCTCCTCCCTGGGGCCTTGGAGTCTTCCACCCCACAAGCTCAGGTGTCCAATGATGTGCCTGGCCCCACTGCCTTCCTACTACCTGCTGAGTCACGGGGCTAGGTCTATAAGGTACCCCTTGCTTGCCTTTCACTGGGGGGGGGGCAACTGGCACAGCATTTCCTTGCTACTCCACATTTTCCATGCTACTCTAGGACCATCATTTTCAGTCATACCCCAGGACCAGAACCATCCTGTCATCCCCATAGCTCTTGCCCTTACCTCTAAGGATGTGCTGAGCAGCTGCTCAACCAGGTGATGTTCTGACTGCCAACAACAGACTGCTGGCTCAGCCCTGAGCCTGCCTTAAAATGGAAACTGCTCAGCCCCCTCCTCCAATCACACGGCCCTCCTGTGGTCATGTGTCTGCCTCATCAGGGCTGGCCTGTACCTGCCAGCTGCTCTGTTGCCACTGTAAGCCCAGTTACCCAAATAGAGCCTGACTTCAAAGAACCAGCATGAGCTGTATAACACAGAGTCCTGAGATGTCCCATGCTGCATCCAATAGTACAGGCAAAGCCTTTCTGGTGACTGAGAGGAAGATCTCCAGTTTGTTACCATGAGGAGTGCTTACAAGGTTTGCATGAAGGTGAAATTCCTTCCCAGAACTGTGGCCCATTGAGTCAAGAGAACAAACAGCATATATTGAAGTTAGTTCCTCATGCTTCAGTTTGTGTTTAAATAACCAGGAGCTTTTACCTGAACAACAATTTCTTCTTAACAGAACAGGGTCCTCTGTACATAGAGAAATGTAGTCAGAGGGAACAGTTTTGTTTACTTTCTCTCTCTCTCTGTTGCTCTCTCACACAGTTTTGGAGCTAAAATGCTCTCCTTTCTATTAGTTTCATCTCTCTTGAAAGAAAGGAAGAGAACACTTTGGAATCAATGTTAATTATTTGCTATATTAAACCCTATAGACCATCTCTGCAATAAGCAGGAGCAGCTCCCATTGACTCTGAACCTGCTAATACTAACGGTGAATTTGGTTCAGTAGGGGCTGCCAACAGTGGGAAGGTGCCAAGATCTCCCAGAACAACAGCACCTGAAATGCTAGCTTGGAAACAAATCCACAACCTGTTTAGAATAGTCAGATCAGCTGGGATGACTTGCACATGTGAGTGACAGAATGAGCATGAGTAAAACAGCAGTTCATTTGTAAACTCTAGTCACCAGGGATTCTCCTCTGTACACTTTACAGTGCTGAGCCCACACAGCAGGGAAACCAACAGTGATTGGCCCATTCAGAGTGACAGCATTTGAAGAGCTTCATGCACTCTATAGAGACATGGACCACCTGAGCTACATGAGTTCTGTGCTTGTCCAAGAACTCACAGCAAGACAGGTGATGAAACAGAACCCAGGTCTCCCAGCACCCAGCTAAAACAATATATGCAAGCATGCATGGAAGGTGTGTGATAGGCTGGACTAATAACAGACCATGTGGAGAGCTGGTTCTGTTCTTCTTAGAGACTAACTGCAAACAAAGGGACAGGAATTCAAACCTTTGGAATTATATGTTTCCCCCTGCTGTCCTCTCAGAAAAGAGTAATCACTGACAGTCATCTTAGTGAGATTGACCCCACCTCCACCCCCAAATTTGAACCTTATTATGAACAGCCTGTCCTGCATCCCTGCACCAGGTCCATGTGGCTATAAATCATCAGTATGCAACAGTAGCAGGAACAGTCAGTTGATCAGCAGTGGATAGAGACAAAAAGACCCTTCTGCCAGGGTCACCGCAGTGCTTGGAAAACATGAGCCAAAGATCTGTCAGCCCCAGTGCACCGTGCACAGATTCAGTTATTCTCTGGGGTTCTGAGAATGCATTTCCATAGGCAAAATGTGATAAATTTACCTTCCCCACACTAATGTCCCCAGTCCAGGGACAGGAGCAGCCTAGACCCCTTAGAAAGAAAATTCACTAAGTACAAGCTCTGTTTGCACAGAAGATAATAAAAAGCCACATGACTTTGTACAATCAGATTTAAAAAATCTCCTACCTCCAGACATCCAAAGCAGGGTAACAAACCCAGGAGAACCACCAGGACCCCCAGTGCCCTGGAGAGCTGCATCCTTTCTGAGCAAAGTGGCCAGCAGCTTCTTCAGGCTTCACATTCCCTCTCTCTCTGTCTTGCTGGGCTCAGCCGCCTCCTCCCTTCCTTTCCCTCCTCTGTTCTATTTCACGGAGAGCAGAGTTCTAGCAGCATTGCACTGGAGGGAGCAGCATGCTTCTGTCATTTCTAGACAGGGAAGGGAATGAAGGGAATGAAAATTCCTGGCAGCATCCAGTGATTTTGCCTCCCCTTCTCTCTCCCACCTCCTCTCTAATATTTCCTTGCTCTTTAGGGAGATAACATGCTCCAGAATCTCTGATCCACCTTTGAAAACAGTAGGAGGCAAGTGCAGGTGGGTAGAGTGCAGTCGTCAGCCATCCAGGCTACTTTCACACCTCATCTCTCTCTCTCTACCTCCCACCAGACTCTCCCTAAGTTGCCCCTCCCTTTTTCTTGCTGTCCCAGCCTTTCTTTGCTCTAGGTATGCTCTCCACTGCCAGCTTTTTCCTCCCTATCCCTGCTGTGTACCTTCCAGTATAGCTCAGCAGCTCTCCCATTGCTGAAAACAACACTCTTTCCTCCAGCTGAGTTTTCTCCCTTCCTCACCCTCCTCCTGTCTCCAAGAGGCTGGAAGGGGTTGATCTGAATCTCCCTACTAAAGAGCCAAAAGGGTGAGATCAGAAGGGTGAAAAATCTTGTTCCTATCTGTGTGTAAACTCTTGCCAGAGATTAGACTAGCTGGAAGGAATCTGGACTTTACTCTTCCCACTTGTCTTTTTGTTTAACTGCCTGCAGTTCCCCGCAACCACACTTCTCAAGCTGATAAATCCAGGAGAACAGGATCCAGAGAGAATTTCAGGATAAGTATCTTGCTGGTTGGGTTTTCTGAGGGGAGAGACACAGGACCTCTTTGAAAGAGCTCTCTGTGGATGCCTCCCTCCAGCTCAGGGAGGCATTTCCATCAATGGTGTGCCAGAGCCAAATTGACTCCAAGGTTCATCTTTTCAGCTAGGCAAGCATTTCCTTGACCTTGGGCTAAGGCTGCAATGCTGTTTACATTTGCCTAGTTTGCAGGCTTAAAACAGGGGTTGGTTATTGCTGCCTACTCTGGAGAGTACCACTTGATTTCTTTTTTAAATGTACTCCTCCAATATATAAAATATTAAGGGCAACCAAGCATTGCACATTAATCAGAGTACCGACACAGCTCAGGGACTTTAAGGTTATCTCCTTGCTGCTCTCACCCACTTAAATGGATATTTCCTATATCTATACTTCCATTACTAGGGAATTAATTCTTTTATTGTTCTGGAAATGTTAATATCACCTTAGAAAAGAACTCGGTTCCAAATTTAGAAATGCTTTCCAAAAGCCATGCAGCCGACCAGCATAGACAAGCTGGTAACATCCCTGCTGGCTGGCCAAAATGCCCTTTTCTTTTATTGCCCATTATCTGTTCCCTATTGAAGTTTTGTCCTGCTCATCTCATCCATGGTTGCTTATCAAACGCAGTACAATTCCATTTGAAGATGGATGAGTAACAGGAGTCATGGGGTGGGAGGGGGGAGCAGTCTGTTGGGTGAATTGTGCTGCAGTGTTCCAGGCACTGCTTATCTGGCCAAGAATTGCAATAACTTAATTAGGAGCGAATCTCTTTAACTAACTGCACAGTGCAGGAGGACAGCAAGACAGAACAGGCAAGGAGAGAGGCTGCTAAAAACAGTGTAACCCCTGCTGGACTCCGTGACTAACACTGCTCTTCCAAGGGACGGGCAGCACTGGTAGGGAGGGGAAGACACCAGAAGAGAAAAGGATGTTGGAGTTTTAAACTTGCTTGTTTTAATTAAGATCTAGAATGTTTGTGGGTGCTATCTTTTACTGGACAAACTGCATGGTTGGGATAGACTCAGACAAGGTTTTTGGTATCCTTGGGTCTCTGCAAGAGAAGTGTAATGAAACTCTAATGAAGACACAGAGGAGGGTGTGCAGAAATTGTGAGTGCAAAATGGCACCAACTGAAAACCCATTGGTCCTTGGGGCATCCTTAACCCCACACACGACCATCAGGGGGAAGATTATCATCAGTGCCCAGGTGTTCAGGTTCCCTTCAAGGTACTCATTGTTCTGCCTCTTCCAACAGAGGAAGGTTTGTTGTTAAGGTTGAACAGCAACAGGAAGAACCAGCCAGGCAGCTCCTCAGTTATAGTACCTGCAGCCTGGAAATGACCAGCTGCATTCAACATTTTTGTGACAGACATTATTCTGGCTGATGATCTGTAAAAAGGGCCTTCACACTAGACCTGTCCTCAAACAGCTGCCAGCTACTTTCTTCTCCCAGGCAAGCATAGTTCCAAGTGCTTTGCCCTCATATAGAAACCCAGGACATGCCATTTCTCAAACAAACCAGTAGTCCAACTTTTGTACCCAGCCTCCATCATCGTGTAGTGGTATTTACAGCAGGTCACTTTCTAGCCCGGGCTTGGTGTTGTCAGAACTACTGTACACTCTTGTCAAGACTTGATCCTATATTCCAGTCTAAGAACTGCATCAAGGAAACAAGCGTGTACTAACAAGCAAAACTGAGCTGGCAGAAACCCACTGGGCCTTAAAGGTTTCTAATGGCCAAACTGACCTTTCCTCCTTCACCCACCCACATACTCATTCCTGCTCTGCTTTTGTCCAAGAGAGATCAGAGCTTGTCTCCACTGGAATGTTTCACCATTTTTACTGGCGTAACTGTTATGACCCTAATTATATCACCTTTGATCCTTTTTTTTCGAGAATGAGAAAGGCTTTTTTCAATTTAAAATGTCCAAGACAAAAACTAAACTGGAATATGCCTTCTTATACTGAAGGGAGAGAGACTTGCAGGGGATTATACTAGTATAACTACAATTGTAGAAATTCACAGCTTTTCATATCAGTGGAACTTTTGTGTGTTGACATCCTCAGCCAACTACCTATAATCACCTGTTTCATAAGAAAACTCTTCTCTGTACTCTCCGCTAGATTTAAACATGTCCCCAAGTCCCTTGGTAGGACAGATTTCTCTCAGCTATAGCCAGCAGTGTAGGATTATCTCAGGAATCTATTCAATCATGCTGCTTCTACACTGCTCTGCACTAATCCCTCTCACTAAGGAAAAAGCACTCCCGCTCCTTCCAATGCTCTCTGACCTGAGGAATGGAACACAGACACCTGCAAGGTAATTCAAACCTTTAGCCACTGCATTGCTATTCTTTCTACATATGAGGGGAGAACTATCCTTCCTCTTTGAACTGCCCAGTCATTGAACAAGTGCAACTCAAGAGCAGGTCTCCCTATTAGACATGCAATTTTTTTTCCATCCCTTTGCCATGGAACAGAGATGTCATTGCAGCCTGCTCCTGCTTTAGAGTCAGATCTTGAGTATAATGAAATCTACATCACTTACTTTACTAGGACTAAGACCTGCAACAAGTGTGGTTTAAGACTTCAAACTACTACTAAGTACATGTCCTTCAGGAGCAGCAGTTCTTGATTTCCTTAGTCAGGTGGAAGTCACCTATTCCAGCACAGGAACTAGGGGCCAGGCAAGGTACATCCACTGATCTAGTTAACCCACACCAACATTATTCTGAGGGGTGGAAGGGGGGAGGAAGCGGGGAGAAAGGGAAGACGTGGAAGAGGTCTAGCAGTACTGAAGAATCAAGGTACCCATTTTTTTATTGCGACACTGACTACTTTTGCAGCATACAAAAGGGAATTCTACTCACTTAAAAGACTACTCTGTAGAATGGGCCTGCAGAATGAACAAGTTGAAAATAAAATGTGGATAACTGCAATGATTATTTAGCAAATCCAAACTAAATTCATAGTTTCATAGTTAATTAATTGATTGAGTTCCCAGTGGCTCTGTGCCCCCATGCCATCAAGCCCAACAAGACACGGGCGCTGTAGTTGGGTAAAGTGCTTTCTTCCTCTTTTGGTATTATTCACAGCAACAGAAGATGGCAGATGCAAGATGAAAGTTAGCATCTGCATGCATTCCTCTAGAATTCCAAATGCTTTTCTGCCTCCCAGCTGGGATATCAGTGTCATGTTCAGGGAAAGGAGGAGACCATACTGATTCTTTCATAAAACATCCTATGCAGCAACATGATACATGAAGAAGTTTAGACAGCAATGATCCCTACAGATGGCATTAGCCAGGCTATAAAGAACAAGGAAAATGAGATCAAGGAATTCTAACAGTCCAATAACCTGCTTAAGAGGGCACAGAATAGCCAGTCAGATTTCAGTTAATTCTCTGCCCACCTTCCCATTATGTATATGGATTAACAACAGCACTCTTGAAAGTATTTGATGCTAGATGGAGCAGCAGAACCCATCCAGCTTCTGTGACCCACTGTGAAACAGTGCTTCCACAACACTCACGAGGAGGAGACAGTCCTATCCACAATGCTCATAGTAGGTGTACTGATGATTATTTCCATTACTGAGAGAGTAAAAATCTTTACCAGTCAGACTCTGCCGAATTACAAATGTTAATGGGGAGATACAACTTTAATTGTCAAGGACAATCAGCAAAGACAGTTCACAATTAAAGTATGCAAACCAGAGCCAAATAAACTGCCAAAATAGTTTAAGAAGTAACATGTATTGTCATGCAAAGCACATTAAGATACTAAGGGAAAAAAACACAAACAGTGCACATAATAAGCTTTAAGGACTTGAAGACTCTAATGTGACATTTTATGGCAACCTTAAAGATAGAGCAGAGATTGAAAAGGTCAGAGAAAGGAAACAAAATTGGCAAGAAGCACTGTGAGCTTTATGAATGTGACTGCAAAATGAGCAGGACTCAAATCATTTGAGAGTACAGTAAACTGATCAGATCCTCTTTTTCATTCCATTATATAATAAGAGGAGACTATTCATGAACATTAGTGTAAGACATGTTTAGAATAAAATGCACCTTCCTCTAATAGTGAGAAAAGTATGAGACCACACTCAATGCTGCAAACTTTTTAATGTGTAAATGGATAAGGCAAATTTAGAATTGACAGTCTCTTGGCTCCCAATTCAGCATACCATCTGAGGCTGGAGAAGATGGGCATAAAAGAACTTTATTACCGCTCTAACACAAAAAATAAACTTATCAAAGTAACTGTTAATACAGTTTGTATTAGAGCGGTGTCTAACGTTTCCCATTGCACTGGATGTATTCAGTGTGCAGACAGCAAGGAACACTCCCTGCCCCAATAAACTGACAGTCCAAATGAGATAGAATGATGAAGTGACTTGTCAAAGATGACACTGTGGGTCAGAGTCAAAGACTGAGCCTTGGTCTGCTGATTGCCCGGCCTATTCATTAGGCATTTTTTGCTCAATCTAACTCCCATACTGTTTAGGTGTTTTTTTCTAACTATAAATCATGAGTATTCATTGCATTTGTACTAGAGAGATGAGCCTATTCAGTTCAGTTCAGCACTATTGCACTTTTGTCCCTACTCGCTCCTTCCCACTGTTTACCAAGACACACAGCAGGGTCTCTCACAATAGGCTGGAAGCTATGCACCAAGCCAGATAGTGACAACACAGAAATAATAACCTGAGAAAGCATCTCCCGTAATTCTCTTCCCAAAAGCACCATGGTGAAAGTCACATCTGATTCCCCACTCATATACCCATGTACTTGGGGGCAGAAGAGTACTACTCTGGAAGCTGACTCTGGACTTCTAATATCAAGATGTTTCACAGATGAATTCAAGGTTTAAAAATGAAGAGGAAGATTAACATACATGGTAATAGTGTTAGGGGTGCACTGGTAGAGATTTTCTGGCCCGATACCAATGGCCGATTTTTAACAAGTCATATTGGCTGATACTCAACCAACTGCCAATATGTAGCCCAGCAACATGGAGAACAGCATCTGGCTGGCAAGTCTGCTGTGGGGGACAGAGCGAGGGCAAGGGCATGAGGAGGGTAGATCGAGATCCCCCGAGGTGAGGGAGGGAATGGGACTGGTGCTGGGGCACTGCACCTGGAGCATGGCGGGGCCCAGGACAGAGCCACGGCTCAACCAGGTAGCATGGGGGTGGGGTGCGGCTCCTGCTGCTGCACACACCCCAGGAAGACATGTGCTCCCCAGATCTGTGCGTGGGGTGAAGGTGGGCTGCTGCTGTGGACCACAGGTGGCACTGGGCTCTTCCCAGCATAGAGGTTGGACCAGGCTGTGCTTGGAGTGGGTGGCAGTGGTGCTGGTAGGTGGACAACAGCAAATTTTGGGGTGGCTGCAGTCTAACCTGTAGCTGCCCTCCCAGTGCTGCCTCCACCTTCCCTGGGTGCAGCCCACACCCAACCCCTCTGCCAGAAAGAGCCTGGCACCAGCCCTAGCCCCAGCCCACAGTGGCAGCCTGCCTTTGCCCCATGCACAGATCTGGGGAGCACATGCCCCCCAAGCTCTCTTGGGGTGCACACCATGCCAGGAGCATGCACGTGGCATTTATCAGCAACATTATTGGCCACATCAGCCAAAAAAAGCTGATTATATCAATTTTCCTTTTATCAGTGCCAATACGATATGGGACCGATGTATTGATGCACCTCTAACATGCTTCACCAGATGCACAGCAATTCTAAGCCAGTCCAGTTGAGAGTCACGAACTATTTGTCAGCAACTCGAATGGCAGACAGGCAGCTTGCTGCAGAATCTGCACATGCACAGTTGTATCTTAACTGTGAAAATTTGTATATGTAATTTGTTAAAATTCATGTATATAATTTGTTAGATTTTATTTTACAAGGAAACAAGATTCCACTCTACAGTTTGGCTTGCTGAACAACAGGAAACACCTGTCTTGTTACTACAAGAGCCAGGGGTCCTATAGAACCATCTCCACCAAATCTCTGCACCCCAAAAACAAGAATTCAGTCAAGAACCTCCTCACCAATTCTGACAGAACCCATAAACATCAAATGCTCCATATCTATTTTTAACTCTTTCTCCAAAGGTGATTCTGGCTTTGATTGCAGCTCTCCAGTTCCTTGGACAACCAGGTTTCTCTTTAAATTTCATGTGTGATATTAGGGAACCGCCTCAATAGTTTGTTCACTTGATTTGGAGTTAAGTCATGCACGTATTCCACAGACTGCTGTTCCGTGAACTTTTCCTGAAACGAGTAGCAGAACCATTAATATATTAATTGCTGAGCTGATTCTAGTCTGGATCTCAGCAATATTTCTAACAACACGCTTATTTCAAAAGCACACCACCTGCCCTTTCAGCAAGCCCGCAAGCAGCAAGGGGGGTACTGGCTCTGTGCTCCTTCTCCTGGAGCAGCTGCCTTCTGCTGGGGGCAGGGGGTTACAGACCTGGAACCCTGGCCCTGTAGCACAGGCAGCTGGGGGCCTCCCTCTGGCAGGGCTGGGGGGGGGGCTCTTTTTGGAGGATTGAGGGGTGTTTAATTTTAAATTACAGATTTTGGGGGTTTTATCAGAGAATCTGCAATTTTTTAAACAGGGAAAACAAGGATCTCTACTTATAAGGTTGTGAAACAGAGGTGTCAGTCTGCAGCTCACCCTATTGGCATTAATGGCAAAGTTATTACAAATATCACAAGCCCACAATCTACCCAGGAGTTGCATCAATTGCTCCCATGGACTGCAGACGTACAGACCCTTTATTCCAGGCTCATCTCTCTAGCAGAGTGCAACCATTTTTTTTTTTTTTTTAACTTCCCCACTACTGCAGTCCTTTTAAAGACCACACGAAATAACCGCAGTAGGGGAGGATGGATTTGGTGAAAACCAACCGCCTCCTTTTGAGCCCGATAGCGCAGACAGGAGGGGTCCTGGACAACAGGATCTCTCTTCCTTAGCTATATCTTCATCAGCACGTGTTTAGCTGCAGAGGGCTGCGATAGTCGCTGGTTTGCGGGCAGCCGGCGACAGTGCACGCCTCGGCCCTCGAGCAACGCGGGGGGTGTCCCGAGCCGTTGGTCGCCTCCTCCCGCCCCGCCCCGGGGACAGCGGCGCGGCGCGGTACCTTGCTCTTGGCGAGGCAGTCGTGGAAGGCCCGGATCTCCCCGGCGCATGGGGGGTCGCTGAACTCGTTCTTCTTCCAGCAGGACATCAGCAACATCATCTCTGTCAAGCACGGCCGCTCTGCGGGGACACGGACACGGACAGAGAGAGGCCGAGTGAGCGCGCGAGCAGCGGCCCCACGGCACCCGGGACATGGCACGCGGGGCGCTCACCTGGTTGCTCCTGCCGGCGCTCCAGCACGCGGTTGTCCAGCACCAGCGGGAGGGGGGGCCGGATCCGCTGGTACCGCTTGTTGCCGCCCAGGCCCAGCCGAGCTAGGCAAGACGCAGACACGGGGCTCACCATTACGCCGGGCCGGAAAGCGCCCCGCGCCTGTGCCTCTGCCCACGTGACGGCCGGAAGCCCCGCCCCGCCGAGTCCGGAAGAGGAAGCGTGGAGAGCCGCCTCCTTGGTGCCTTTGGTGAAGCCGCCTGAAGCCGGCCGGTTTGGTTAGACGTAGATTCTAGGCAGCGCCCTGGAGTGTCCGCGCGCTAAGACCCGGAGGCCAGGTTTAAACATGCTTTAGGAGTCTTAAAGTCGCATCGCTCCAGGGTGTGATCAGTCACCCTGCTCGATGTGCGGCCGCTCCAAGCTTCCGCCCTCCGTAGGGTGGCCATCATAGAGGACAGTCCTCTGTCTAGAAACGTCCTCTGTCCTCTCTTGCTACGAAACCCCACGCCTTTATGTCCTCTCTTTGTTTCTTCAAGAGATAAAATAGTAGTAGTATTTTTCTCTTGAAGAAACAAATAGAGGACGTAAAGGTGTCCAGTTTCATATCGATAGAGAACAGTGTGGCAGAAAACCAGAATGTCCTCCACAACGGCCACCTTAGTCTTCCAGCATCCCAGGATGCAGTGTCCCTTCCCCCCACCCTCCTGGTCTGTGCAGACAGCTCAGAGCTGTAGCTCCTATTCAGGCCACTGCTTGCCAGCCCCCGGTGGCAAGTCACAGCTGCGCAGATCAGGGACGGTGTGGGTGCCTATACACGTGTAGTAAGGCTGCTCTGCCATGCTGCAATTGCAGTCAGAGCAGGCTTGATTAATCAGTTCTGCTAGAATTACCACACTCCAGCAGGCTCCTGTGTCTCCACACTTAAAAATGGTGACTGGATGCTTTAACTAAAGCTCACTGAACAAGCTTTAGTTAAAGTGATCCTGCTGCCATTTTAAGTGCAGGGATGCTGATATATAAGATGTTCCAGGTGTTTTAAGCTGTTCTAATTAAAACCACCCTTCAGGGAGCACATGTATAAACTCCCACAGGGAAGATTTTTAGTCTGAATGTATAACTATTCTCAGATTAACCCTAGAACCAATCAACGTTTAAGAAGTTTAAAGTTCAACATGTAATAAGGCCCTTAGTTTCCCTTTGGCTCAGTAGCACGTTCAAAATAAAGCCTAATGATTATTAACATGAACATTTTCACCAGAAATTGTTTCAGTACAAACACTTGCCTACTTGTGACCTGAAGCAGAGACTGTAGGTGAAACCTGAATAAGAGCTGTGTTCTTTAGTGATTTGCCAAACTATATGCTTGAGGAGTTTCCTTTTGCAAAATAAAGCTTATATGATTGGTTGGGCCTTTGGTTTATCAGTTCTGACACTGCAGATCCTGTTGCTTTTTTATTGGTTTTTAAAAATTATTTATAAGGTAATATCTGTGTTACAGTTAGGTCTGAGCCATGTAACAGGACATTTCTACACAAACAAAAATATACCCATTTGCCTCCATTTTTAGAACCAAATTCAAACCACCCTGTTTGAAAGTTCTGAAATAGGGAGTGCTGTCTTCTGGGACAGGAAGCAGGAGTGTAAAATAAGTGAGAGAGGCTGCTCAAGGGGCATTTCTAGCCTGGTCTCCCAGTGATACAAATCCTACTGAAAATGCTGACTTTTGTAAAATCTGTACAATTGGAAGGGTCAGGCATTTTGGAGATGTCATTCATCAGGAGATAGGCTGACATATTCCAAATAATTTAAGGCAGTGGTTTTCAACCTGTGGTCTCTAGACACCTTAGGGGTCCACAGATTATGTCTAATGTTAACCAATTAGCTCAAAATAAAGAGCAAGACCTTTGTAAGAGGGGACAAGGCAAGACGCCACATTTATTAAGTGCTTAGTGTACACACACACTCATACCCCAAATTCTATTCTGTGCTGGTATACTTTACCAGTCTCATCGGTGCTTGAGTCAACTTCGTGGCCAGCTAAGTTGATCACGAGTGGGAGCTGGGCTTCTGTTGGTCCATCTTGTCAGGTGAACTGATGATCCAGAATGTTATGCAGAACAAGACCCAAATCAGCATGTCTCACCCCACCTTTTATAGTCTTGTCAATTCAGTCAGTCCTCTGGGCTTTTGCTGTGTTATCACTGTTAATCAACCTCCCTGCAGGTTGATTAATGTTCTCCTGCTGTTCTGGGGTGGCTTCTTCTTGTTTTGGTCTTTTATCTGTCTGAATTCTTCAGCTAGCTGCCAGCTGGTGTTTTCCTTTTCCACAAACACACTCTCACCCATGCAGCACACAAAGGAGTATAATGTCAAGAAGTGCTTATGTCAAGCTACAGAGCAGTACAAAATGGAGTTTCTTAAGGCATTGAAAACTCAAGAAAATACACAAAAAAAGAGTCAAGATAATACACAAGATTAAGGCAATAGGCAAAAGGCTATCTCCATGATATTTATGTAACCTAAACCTGGTAGTTATTCTATTTGCATAACACTAAAGGGTCCATAAAAGATGACTATAATCATGGGGTTTTCAACCTTTTTTGGTTGGTGTACCCCCGGCGGACAGTTGAGAAGCAGGGAGTCCCCCGGCAGGTCGACAAGTGTGTGAGGGGTGGTCCCCCAGCAGCCGATCAATGCGCGGGGGGTGGGGTTCCCACAGCAAAACCAGAAGTTCCAGCAGGAAAACAGGTGCCAGTGGCAAAACTGGAAGTGTCACCATTTCTCCGCACTGCCACCACATACCCCCTGGGGCCTTCCCAAGTATCCCGAGGGGTACACATACCCCTTGTGGACAACCCCTGCTATAATCAATGAAAGTATGTGAATCATATTCATCCACACTTACAATTCCAAGGGATCCATGCCACTGTTTGAATTTTTTAGGGGTCTGCAAATGAAAAAAGGTTGAAAACCATTGATTTAAGGCAGGGGCAAGCAATTATTTTGGGCAGAGGGCCGCTTACTGAGTTTCGGCAAGCCCTTGAGGGCTGCATGACAGGCAGCCCAGGGCAGATTAATATTAATTTTCTAAACTTTTTAGGGGGCCCCCGGGCCAGACAGAATGGCCTGGCAGGCCGCATCCAGCCCCCGGGCCACATTTTGCGCACCCTTGATCTCAGGGATTCAAATGATCATCCTTAAATAGATTCTGAGACAGCTTTGCCAGGCAGTCTCAAAATATGGAGTGCTCCTCTGAATCTCAAGATTTTTGAGGTTCACTTATTTCAGGGCTTCCCAACCTTTTCCTCAGTGTGACCCTATTTAAACATTGGAAATTTTTTGCAACCCCGAAATGATGCAGACAAGATCAACAAAGACCCCAAAATGATACGGACAAGATCCACAAGAATTCATCAAATTTCTTTCATGTCTTATACTTCTTTTGTTTCTTGTTTTCACCCTTGTCATTAATTTTATTGCTAGAGCTCAAAGCAGAAACGTTTTAGAGAACAGCATCCATATTAGATCATATTAAATGTATTTCAGCCAGCCAGGATCAGCATACTGATTTCACGTCAGCTTCCTGTAATGTATGAGTAACTTGCATTGGAACTGCAACTGTCGTGCATGAGCGAATAAATGCCATGCCCGAGAGTTGCATATTTATAAACAGGAAGCATATTTGCTGTAATCAGTCGACACTGTCAAGTGTCTTTGTGACCCCACTTTTTTTTTGCTGCAACTGACCCCAAGGTTGGAAATCACTGACTTATTTGCTTGCTAATGTTTTCCTGTTTAGCCACCTCTTTTTCTTACATCCCTTGTTGACTTTCCAGTGACTATCTGGAAAGGAAGGAACAGAATGCTGGACTGTAATATCTCCTGTAATGGGCTTCTTTCATTTCAAACCCCATTAGCTAATGGTGGTGGCAGCTTCCAGATACATTCACCTTCAGAATCCAATGTCAGCCTTAAACAATTCCAAGAAGCATGTGGAGGGAGGTTGGGGAAGGGAAAGGGAGGGGGAAAAAAAAGGCAAAGCTCCATGGGGAGAATTTTAATAGCTTCCCATCAGTTACTGCTGTCTGCATTACAGTCTCTTCTTGGCATGGAGCCTGGGATGGGCTGAGAGCATCAGCATTAGGGATTCACAAGTAGACAGAAGTATGTGACACTGTCTGCATGCACTGTGAGACAGATGTTTGCAGGGAGAAAGAGAACTCAGTTTTGAGACACAAAGTGGAACTACGGAGACAAGTGGGCTGCCTAGAGTCTGATGCTTATTCCAGCTTGACTCCTACAACAGTAGTCATGAGACCAGTATCACAACACAGTCACGTATGGATGAGGCTGGAGAAATTTACACTTTTCAAATGGTTCTTGTAGTGGAATTTTTAATGAGCCATGAAGCTGTTAAGAGTCACAAATTTAATTGAAAATCCTGGATTCAAAAATCCAAAATTCAGACTGTATTTACAATCAAATGATCCCAGATTTCAGTAAACAAACTTAAAAGTAGGATCCTTACTTGGTTCTTGACTAGACAAAGATTAGATGAACCAGTTGGGCTAAACCACTGGACTGAGCCACTGGAGAAATTTGAGCTCAAAAGATTTTTTTTCAGGAAGTTGTATGTTTCTGAAATAGACTGACTGGAAAAAAAAAACCCTCTTCCATTAAAATATGAAGTACTGCTAGCTATAGTCAATGCATTCTTAAAACATGTTTAACAGGTAAATTTATGCAAATATAATTTGTATTAACAACCTGTCCACAAGGAAGTTAAAAGTCCCTGTGCACTTTCCAAAAGGCATAGGCACTGACTTCGGTTTGGTCAACATTAATTCCAGCATTTTACACGGAATTCAAACAAACAGAAGATGACAAGATTCCCTGAGATGCCCTTACCCAGCCACCTTCAAGTCAATCCCAAAGCATCTTGGGATGCTGAAACCCATTCTGAACTGCCCTGATCTATCTCAAACCATCTTAGAATCATAGAAAATTAGGGTTGGAAGGGACCTCAGGAGGTCATCTAGTCCAACCACCTGCTCAAAGCCCAGTTAGATCATGCCAGCCAAGGCTTTGTTTAGCCAGGTCTTAAAAACCTCCAAGGATGGAGCTTCCACCACCTCTCTGGGTAACTTGCTCCAGTGTTTTACTGCCCTCCAAGT